TCCATCTCCTTCTCTTCCCTTTCCTCTCCTGAAGCTCTTCAGCAGTGCAAGGCTTCTTTCCATTTCTCCTCGTCGCATCGCTCAGCCGCACAGAGAGATGTAACAGTCAGAGTGCCAATGCCTCCATAGCAATCACAGTGCAGAGATTCTCATTCAGATTGCTGATTGCATTTGGACCCTCAGTGCCGGTTTCACCTTCATGAGTTCTCGAGGGAAACCCCAACTCTGCACTGAGTCACGGTCATTCATCTCAGTGCACCTGTGGTCCCAGAGCCCATCGCTGCTGCTGCAGAAAGCAGCAGAGAAGGCACCAGACGTCTCTGCTTCATCTCTGTCCCAGTTTGGAAGGCGCCCATTCTCATCCAGTCACAAACTGATGTTCTCGCTGCTCCTACCTTTGTTGTTCATCCATTTCAAAACCCCTCTCTGTTGTCCCACTCAGCATCGTGCAGCTTCACCCCTCACTGAGCTTTGCCCACACAAACTCTGCACGGTGAGCACAGAGTGTGGTACCCAAAGCACGTGGTGACAGCTGGCTGGACGTGTTGGAGAGCACAAGTGACATCCCATGGGAGAACCTCATTTGGAGCTACATGTCCTGCAAATGGCATCCATGCATGACACCAAGCAAGGCCATGTGGTGGTGGAAGAATTTTGAGGACCCTGTGTGACATCCCAGGGTTGACTGCTTGTGTGCGACACCCTGGTGGAACCTTCTGTGCTGCTTATGTGTGTGCCACCCCATCAGGTTCAAAACATTGCCACTCCCTGGGGACTGAATTTGACACGTGAGGGGGTGACAAATCACAACGTCCTGATGCAAAAGGGGAACTGAGAGCTGCTTTCTCTCACCACTCACTGTCCTCACTGCAGTCTTGCTGTCACAGAGCTGCTCCTGACAAATGGCACCAATGGTGCTGGCCCTCATCCTGGGTGAGTGACAATGCGGATGTGGTGCCACGGGGGTTGGAGGCCCTGTGTGGGACCAGGACCGTGTCCCTTGCAGGTTGGTGGCTGGTGGCAATTAGCAGAACACGGCATTGTGAGTATGGGGACAGAGGAAGAATGGGGAGAGTGGGAGGGGAGTGTGGTCAGGGTGCCATCAGAGGGACACAGGAGGGTGTGCAGGGACAAGGCTGACTCCTGTCCCCTGTCCTAGTGCCCAGACCCTCCCTGTCGCTGCACCCCAGCCAGGGGGTGTCCCTGGGGGACAATGTCACCCTGCGCTGCCACTTGAGCCGGATGGCTGCCTGGGTCTGGCTGTACCAGTATGGAGGTAGGACACACAACAGGTACCATGTGTCTGAGCCACTGGGGACATCAGAAAAGAGCGATCCCGTGGAGCTGGTGCTGACAGGTGAGGACACTGGGGATAATGGTGGGCCTTGGGCTGTACCCATAGGGTGGTGTCCCACCTCTCTGCCCTCCCTGCACACAGATCGCAGGTACCCCCCACCTGACATTTCTCTGAGCTTTGAGGGACACGAGATGACAGCCATCAATATCAGTATCCACGTGGGGAGAGGGTCCAATGTCACCATCCAGTGCTGGAACTGGGATTATGGATCCTCCTTCCTCCTGCACAAGGGTGGGCACTCAGCCCCTGTCCAGCGCCAGGACCCCTGTGGTGGAGGAATGGCCACCTTCACCCTCTTTGGGGTGTCCCCAGCTGACACCGGCACCTACAGCTGCTCCTACCGCCCCTGGGGTCACCCCTTTGTGTCCTCACCCCTCGGGGACAGCATGACACTTGAGGTGACATCCCCACCTACACGTCCAGGTAGTTCTGAGTCTCCCATGTCTATGCCCCTCTTATCACCCATGGGTGGCAGTGTCACCTCATCCCATCCCCAGGGAGGCGGTTTCTGGGGATGGCATCACCCAAACACCCGGACTGCACAGGTGCCAATGGGGAATCCCGTGGGAGCCTGGTTGTGGCAGTGGCAGGGGGCTGTGCCACTGCCCTCGCCTTCGGCCTCATCCTCATCATCTTCTTCCTCCTGCCTGCCCGCAGACGTCGGATACAGAGAACTGCCAGCTCTGGTGAGGAAGGG